AATAATAATAATAATAATAATAATAATAACTCCCAGAATTCCTGAGCCAGCATGGCTCAGCTTGGAAACCTCTCCCTTTCCCCTCAGCATGGCTGGCTCAGGAATTCTGGGAGTTGAAGTCCACGAGTCAGAAAAGAGCCAAGGTTGCCTACCCGATTTAGGGGAATGGGCTGGAACGGATAGAAGTTAAATGTTTAACCCAGAGCTGCCAAGCCAACCTTGCTAACTCCGTGGCATTTTAAGTCACAAAGGGCATCTTTGTGAATCGCACTTCCTATCCCTCACCTCAGCTTGCCAGTTTTTCTGATAAAGTGACCGAGGAAGCAAAGAAATTCGCCCCGGAGTTGTATGCCCTGCCCCCTTTTAATTTACCCCTATCTCAAAAGGAGGTTTTAGTGGCTCTTGTACAGTTTTGTGCTCACAATACCAACTATAAGTGACTTTGCTTACACAGCCAGATTACAGGTAGTCCTCAACTTACAACGGTTCATTTAGTGACCGATCAAAGTTAACAGCACTGAAAAATGTTGATTTGTGATCGTTTTCCACACTTGCAACTATTGCAGTATCCCCATGGTCATGTGATCAAAATTGGCAAGTTATGACGGTTGCAGTGCCCCAGGATCGTGTGCCCCCCCTCCTTGGCGACCTTTTGACATGCAAGGTCAACTGGGAAGCCAGATTCACTTAACAACCAGGCTACTAACTCAACTGCAGTGATGCACTTAACAATTGTGGCAAGAAAGGTCATAATAAAGTTGGAAGGGGCCTTGGAGGTCATCTAGTCCAACCCCCTGCTCAGGCAGGAAACCCTATACAGACAAATGGCTGTCCAGTTTCTTCTTAAAAACTTCCAGTGTTGGAGCATTCACAACTTCTGGAGGCAGGTTGTTCCACTGATTGTTCTGTCAGGAAATTTCTCCTTAGTTCTAGGTTGCTTCTCTCTTTGGTTAGTTTCCATCTGTTGCTTCTTGTCCTGCCTTCAGGTGCTTTGGAGAATAGCTTGACTGCCTCTTCTTTGGGGCAGCCCCTGAGATATTGGAACACTGCTATCATGTCCCCCCCTCGTCCTTCCCTTCGTTAAACTAGACATTCCCAATTCCAGCAACCGTTCCTTATAGGTTTTAGCCTCCAGTCCCCTAACCATCTTTGTCACTCTTCTCTGTACTCTTTCTAGAGTCTCAGCATCATTTTTACATCGTGGTGACCAAAACTGGATGCAGTATTCCAAGTGTGGCCTTACCAAGGCATTGTATAGTGGTATTAATACTTCACGTGATCTTGATTCTATCCTTCTGTTAATGCAAAATGGGGCAAAAGTCACTTAAACCTTTCCCTTCACAACAGAAATGGGCTCAGCTGTGGTCGTAAGTTGAGGACTCCCTGCACTGAAGAAAATTATTTTGCAAAGAACTGATTGTTCAGAAAGGTTCAGAGGCTGAACTATATCAGCTGCATTTCCAGGATGTGGCTCCTATGCTTTAATAAGTATGTGGAAAACATTTAAGACAACCTCTGGCAAGTAAGGCATTTGCCATTTGTTCATCCTTAATCAAAGCAACTTCTGCAAAGCTCATTGTTCATAATTTGGAAAGCTCAGCTCCTGTGACTTCCTGCTGCCTTTGAGCTCTTAGTTAAGTATCAGTGATGACTCCACAGGTACTCAAGGACCCCTTTAGCCCTTCAAAAAAACCTAGTGACTTTTAATCGGGCTAATCCAGAGCTCATTACTTGTGCCACAGGAAGTATGATTTTCGACAGCTTAATCCTTATTAATTCATTTAGCATGTAAACCATTTCTTACCAGCAGTATCTTAGCATCTTAACCGTTATCCTCAAAGCTCTTTGACCAAGTTATTACTATTAGACTACTACGTTAGAAGCATTAAAAGGCTGCATCTTTGTATTCTGCTATAAGACAGATGCAGACAGAATCTGGCCAGGAAGCAGTTAACGTTGAGAATACAACGGGCTTCTATTTGGAATAAGAGCTGCAAAATTAACAGTTGGGATCAGTGCTCCAAGGTGGTGGCCCTCAATCCCTTGGGCACCAGGGACCAGTTCCATGGAGAGAGGTTTTTCTGCGGACTGGAGGGTCCATGGTTTCACATGCTGCCTGCATCCTGCGAATGAGGCTTCACTTACTTGCGCGGCCCAGTTTCTGACATGCCGTGGACCGGTGCCGATCCACGGACTGGTGGGGTTGGGGACCCAAGGCGATTCCAGCTTTTCCAAGCTCTACTCTATGTACTCCAACTTCAATGGGAAAAGGATAAGAGCCCTCTCTCTGTCACACATGCACACAGACACACACACACACACACACAGACAGAACGGATTCCTTTTGTTAACTACATCCTCTTTAGGCCAACGTTGTGGAGCAGGGGTGTCAAGCCTGTTCGCATCATGGGCCATATCGTGACGTGGATTTTTCGCCTTTGCGGCGCCGGGGTGGTGTGGCCTGCGTGGGCTGGATGTGGCCCGTGGGCCATGAGTTTGACATGCCTGTAAGTGAAGTATCCTGTGACTTACCTTAAGAGACACTGCATGTCTTGCTTATCAAACAAAGATTACTAAGATAATCTATATAGTAAGGCAGACATGTCAAACACAAGGCCCGGGGGCCGGATGCGGCCCGCAAAGAGGTTTCATGTGGCCCGCGAAGCTATCCTGGAAACAGTGAGGGAATGGCCCCCACTGCCTTGGCCCTGGCCCAGGCCGGTGGGGAGCCAATGTACAATTTTGTGGTGGCCATCTATGCTGAAACGCATTCAATCTTAGCTCCACAAGGCCGTCTGGAAACAGCGAGGAACCAGCCCCTGCCGCGTCGGCCCTGCCCCCTGGGTGCATGCTGGGGAGATGTCACCCTTTGTGAGGAATGAAGAAATGGACCATGCCTTGGCGCTTGCCCCGGTCCCACCCCCTTCTGCCAGAGACCCTCAGATCTGCCCACTCCTGCCCAGGCCCCCACAGGCATCCTTGACGCGAACG